TCAGCACAAGCATGTTTGGCTGCGACTTCCTGACTAGATGCTATAGCCAGGTTCCTCATCTGGCATCAAGGGGTGAATTAGCCCCCCATTGCTACAGGGTTCTTAAGTGTGGCTGGTGGGAGAAGTGGGGGTGAAGTTGTTTGCTGTTCCTTGAAAGCAGAGGAGGGATAGGAGGAGAGTTTTTTTGCAAGGGGTAGACCCCAGACCATTAGAAGTGGCTGAGATGGGGAATGGCCTGGATTGGAGCAGAGTGGTTGGGAGAAAAAGAAGGTACAAAGACAGATGTAAGGAAGCAAAGGGCGAGGGCTGGAGGTGCTCTGAGCAGGTGGGAGCAGATGGGATGGCTGGAGAGATGTTGCTGCAGGGGTAGGGGCTGGATTGCTCACAGGTCTGTGGGGCTGATTGCAGTCTGGCTGTCCCTAGCCAAGTGGGTGGGAAATGTGTAACCCTGTTACCAACAGGGTCACAGTGCTGACCATGAGGGGGTGTGTGAGTGACTCAGTGCCTCTGATGGCTTCAGGCCTTCACAGGGTCTGGTGCTGTTAGTCATTACTGGGATATGGAATGTGTCCCAGGGCCAGACCTCCACTGTCTTGGGTCTCACATCCTTGAGTGTACACTCTCACCCTGCCTCCTATAGGAGGGGAACCTCCCTGGCTCTTATATCTGGGAAGAAAGCTGGGAAGGCTGTAGGCAGCTAGATAGAGCCCAGGGGCCAGCACAGGACTCCTCCTTATTTATTTAGCTAGATCCTTTCTTTATGCTAGTTAGCTGGCAGGTTGTGATACTAAATGTGCTTATGTCTGTCTGGGCCTGGCTTTCCTGTGGTGGTGCAGAGGCCTTGGGGTATATGCATGCTGCTCCCCTGGGAGCTTGTGCTTACTGAAAGGAAGCTTGTCCCAGGATCATGGGGTGTGGATCCCAGGGCTGAGCGCTGCAGGGCTGTACCTTCCCTGCCTCCATGCTTCTGGAAAGTGGTGAGTTCCCGGTGCAGGGTGTGTTTGGACCTCAGGGCCACCTGCCCCTGTGCTTTGCCATGTCCTGGACCTGGTGCTGTAACAACCATACCTCTAATTAAAGGTAGACTGACCCAAATTGCTGCCCTGTGCTTCTTTCCATGCTCTATAGGCCAGCGTCGGTCAGCCCTGGGGTGGTGGGTGCAAATGCTGCTGGAGCAGGTTTGGGGGTGCTTGGTGTCTGTCTGTGTGTGTACAGGGGCATGTGCTGCCCCCAGGGCACCTCTTCCAGGCTGAGCGTTGGAGATGAAGGACCCAGCTCCACTGTGCTTTTCCCTGTCCTCCAAATTGGAGTTGCTGCTAACCTCAGCTCTGTAACCATGTGTGGCAGGGCGGTCCTGGGGCAACTGAGCTTGGAACTTCCCCAACAGGCATTTCTGTTTAGCCAAAGAAATACCCCATTGTGTCCCTCAGTGCTGAGTTCTACATGCTGCCAAATCCTGCCCAAGTCCTCTGCCTCCATGCATTAGGCAGGGTTGGGAGCATGCAGTGGAGAGGAGCTTAGTGGTGGAGCTGCTTGGTTTTTTTTTGAATGCTCTCATCCTGGTGGGTGCAATGGGGTGGGGGCTCTGCGGCAAACCAAACCCATAAATGTTCTGGGTTAAAAATAACCCGTCAGAAAACGGAGTGGGGGGAGAAGAGAGGCTATTTTTAACCCAGCATGCAGCAGCATTTGGTTCTGGTGTTGGTCTGCAGTCAGTCTGCATCACGGCAGCTGGGAAAATGTGGCTCCATCCTCCAGCCCTGATACAAGAGCATACTTCCTGGCCTGATCCTGCTGCCCTTGTACCACGGTCCTGCTCCCCTGTCCCAGCTGTGTTCCCTCTTCCACCCCTGGTTTATGTGCCCTGGGAAAAGCAACAGTGCCTGGCATAGCAGTACCCTGCAGGGAGATTGGTGACCCAGTTTAAGTCTGGTGGGGAGGCAAAAGACACCTCTGCATCTTTGCTAATGCTGCACACTTGATGTTCAGCTCATCCAAAACCTGCCTGGGATGCCTCGTGCAGAAATTGAATTGTTTACTTTGGTGCTTTGGGTGCTCTTTGCATTTCTGGTGAGTGGGTCCCTTTGCAGCAGCAACACATGGCTCTCAACTTGGAAAACCCTCATCCCAGTGAGAATGTGAAGAGGTTCAATGCACTTGTTTTATCCAAGAAGGGATGAGATGAATACCAGGAGAAAGGTTTGCTGGTAGGAAGAGTCCTGGTCAGCTGTTAGACAACAATCTAGGGCTGGATCAACTTTGGGTAATCAGAGCAGAGGAGCGCTGGAAAAGCCTTCCCCAAGGGCCACAATCTGTAATGGTCAGCACAAGGGGGGTGAGTGGCCTAAGGCAGAGACCCTGCCTACCTGCAGAGCTGCTTGGGCAGTGCTGAGGTAATTGCTGCTGCTAGCCTGAGACACAAGGCATTCTTGTAATTTGGAGTGCTTCAAAGGGGCTCCCTCACATCTTTATAAGGAGTAAAAGGGCTTTTGCCATCACTTTACCTGTTTCTTCTGCCCCAGTGTTCCAGGGGCCATTCAAAGCAGGAGCAGGGAAGACTGGTGTTATCAGGCCAGCAGAGCAAAAAGTAATTCCACATCAGCAGTGGTGTCACAAGCAGGCCAGGCCACAGGAGAACAGCTTGGTGGCATGATGACACGGTGGCATGGTGTGGTGTCATGCTGGCGACTCGTGCCTTGCATGCATGTGGAGCAAAGTGCAGGAGGTGGACTGGAGCCTGTCAAGGGCTGAGTGCCTCACTGAGTACTGGGGACTTTGGAGCATGTGGGAGGAAAGAGGCTCAGCAACAAGATTTCAGGCTGGTTTTGGTCTTCTGAAAAAGCAGGCAGACATAAAAAGTTCCCTGTAAAGTGCCACCCCTAGGGTAGCTAATGGGGCTGCATGAAGCTAAAGTTGGGGGGCCTAGGAATGCAGTGGTGCTTGCTTGGCAACACAGTGCTGGTGCAGCCAAATGAATCCATTCCCAGTGGAGCTGCCTGAATTGCTCCAAAGGCTAAAGCTAACTGTCTTGGGGGTGTTACAGTTGGGACAAGGCTGTGTGTGCAATGTGAAATGATCTTGTGTGATGTGAGTGAGCCTGCAGGAGCAGGGCGTGCATCTGTATGAGTGCTGGACAGAGAGGAGGAATGGTGATGGTGTGGTGAAGAAGGGCAAGGGGAGGGGGAGGATGAGGATGGTATCCAGCCAGCAGCAAATGAGAGTCCTTGAAATGAAAGTCTCAAGAGCCTGTCCTGGCCTGACAAAAGCATCCCTAATCTTGGGACTCCCTTGTTGCCTCCCTGGCCACTGGGACTGCCTTGGTAGTTGCTGCCTGAGCTGTTGCAGGTGATGGAGCTGTGTCATGTTTGAGCAGGACTGTGCAGATGCCAGTGCCATTTGTGCTGGCAGCCCAGAGCAAGTCAGCAACCTGCACTGGGCAGGAGGGCTTATCAGGCTGGATGAGCCAGACAACAGTGGCAGGGGTCCCTGATTCCACGATTATCACGTCTTGTGGAGAACCGGGTGAGGGGAAGCCATGTAGTGAGCAGTAAGCCTGCTCTGGGCCAGGGCTATACCCTCAGTGCACATGGGCAAGAGGATGCTTGGAGCCAGTTCCAGCCACTCAGCAGCAGCATGCCAGAGCCTGATCAGTGCCACTTAGCCATCACCCTGGCTTGTGTCTCTGTGTCCAGGATGGCAGTGGCACTCTCCAGCGCAGCAGCTCTCTGGGAAAAATCCGGGATGTGATACGGAGGAGCAGTGAGATGTTGGTCAAGAAACTGCAGGGCAATGGTCCCCTGGAGCCTAGAAACACCAGGTACGTGTGAGGGTCAGGCTGTGTACCGGACAGATGGGGGCCCTGCCGCCTTGTGTGTCTGGGTCTGACCAAACACAGCACAATCACATCTGTTCTCCTCTGCTTCTTTATAGCATGAAACGAGCTGCGTCCTTAAATTACCTGCACAAGTCTAGTGATGCTTCGTTTGAGGTAAGCACAGTGTGAGTGGTGGGGCTGGTACAGGACTGTGCATGAGGCTGGGGGCTGTGGCCAGTGGCACAGGGGGTGAGGGGCATATTAGTGGGCCCGAGGATGCAGTGCTGAGAAGCCCTGGCTTGTAACCCCTCGTCTGAGGTCAGAGCACCGAATCTGAAGATGTTGCTTCCAAGTACCCATCTTCCTCCCCACAAAGCTCAGCCATAGACTGAGAGCAAAGGCAGCAGCTACTGTGTGTGACAGCAGCACCAGGGCCGTCCTGGCTTGCAAGGCAAGGGGTGCAGGAATTGGGGTGGCAGCTTTCGGGCATGGGGGTGGAGTGCAGGTACCTACCTCATGGGCACTGTATTTTTTCCAGGGCACCCAAGGCCTCCGTGCGGAGAGCAGAGGCCTGAGCGCCAGCAGCATGGACCTGTCCTCCCACAGCTCCCTGCTCTCCTCCAACTGAGCTGGCTGCTCCGCTGCTGGGCACCCTGGCTTCGCGCTGCACGGGGCAGCGCCCGCCACCTCCCCACACCGACTACTCTGTACTCCCCATCACCGGTTCTCTTGCCACCGTCTGCCTGCCCAGCCCGGCCTCCCCCGGGGGTCCCTAGCTAGTTCGGGCACCGCAGCCCGCCCGCATGCTCCTCTGCTGCTCACCGGGGCCCGCAGCTCTGGTGGCCGCATGCTCGGTACCGGTCACACACGCTCGCCAGGTAGAATCGCCAGCCCGGGGAGGGGGGCTGTCCCCGGGCCGGGGCAGCGGCGGGAGTGCCCCATGCCCCCGGGACGCCGGTCCCCCGCCGGATGATCGCTGTACTTTATTTTATTAAATAAAACCGACCCTAGAAGCGACCGCGCCTCGGCCTGAGGGGGGCGGGACGGGACGGGACGGGACGGGGCTGGGCGGGCGCCGCCTGCCGGGGGGAGAGGGCGACACGCTCCGCGGGGTCCGCCGGAGCGCCAGGGGGCGCTCTCCGCCGCGCTGGGCCGGGCCGTGCCGCCCCGGGGCGGTCCCCGTCCCGTTGCCGGCGGACGCGATGGCGCGGATCACGCTGGAGGACCTGGAGCAGCTGGGCGACGAGCCCGCGGCCGCCGACGGGGACGGCAGCGACAACGAGAATGACCAGGAAGGGGAGGCACGGCTGTTCGCCCACTGGGAAGCCGTGGCCAGCACGCACCGAGTGAGCCTGCCCCGAGGTGAGCGCCGGGCCTGGCGGGGCTGTGATGGCACGGACCGGGACTCCTGCGCTGCGGCCGGGGCGAGCCTCGTCTCTCGTGTGCTTTGCCTTGCAGACATGTCAGGCCCGATCGCCCAGATGGCCCGGCACAGGCAGGCTCGCGAGCCCGTGCCGTACGTCTCCCTCTCGCAGCACGGGAAGGTGAGGCCTGACCCTCTCCGCACACCCGGCTTCTCGCCCGCTGCCCGCCCGTGGTGCGGCTGCCTCGGTGCTGCCGCCAGCCCCGGGCGTAGCAAGAGCCTCTCCCGGGCAGGGAAGGTGCCTCGTGTCGGCCTCGCCGGGGTTCCTGCAGCACCTCTGGATCGGTGCAGTATTCTGCCACTCCTGCACCTCCTCCTGTGTAGAGAATGGCAATGCTCAGTTTCCCGGCCTTTAATTTAAAACTGGACTAGTCCTGCTGGTCTCTCTGGTCTTGTGACTTCCAGCCTTTGCCAGCCTATCCTCTTGCTGGGGTGGACACATCTAAGAAAGTGACCTTTCAGTTCAGAGCCTGCTCTCTTGCCGTTCTCCAAACACCTTGTTGTATAGCTCGAAATCCTGCTGGCTTTGTGTTTGTGCTCGTTACTTTGGCTGGTTAAGCTGGAGATTTCAGCTGGCACAAGATAGAGATGTGTCTGTGGGGAACCTGGGGCCTGTGACCCTGGCTGTAGAGGGGAACTGGTGTTATTTGTCTCAACCACCAATGCAAACATGGTATCTTTTGCCTGAAGACCTTCTGTTTGTGCTGGCTATGTTGCACACTTTCTTCTCTTGCACATAAAGGTGCTTCTGTGCTTTGAGAAATAACTGCTTGTCAGACTGGTTCTTGTGTCTCTGCAGGCCTAGTTGGGCTTTCTACCAAGAAGACATCTGTCAGTTGTCCTCTGTATAAGAAGTGGTTAACCAATTTCTTCTGGGCTGAGGTCCAGCATTCCCTGTAAAACATGTCTGAGCATGTGGCTTGTGCAGCTCTGAACTGGGGCTTCACCACACTCCCTCTTTGCTTGTTCTGGGTCCCAGGGACTTAATCTGGCCTTTTCTCTGCCTGTGTCAGTCCCAGGCAGGAATGGGGCCGCAAGACTTCGTGGGAACTGAAGAGATTTTGTTGTTGTGGCATCCCATCTGTGCCTGAGGAGGATTCTTGGAGTGTGAGGCTGAGTGAGAAGAGCTATTGCCTGACATCAGCGCTGAGGGGACTTTGGAGTTGGGGTTCTTAGGGACACGTTTGCCAGGCTCAGTACAAACCAATCAGTAGTATTTGGTTGCTTTCTCTGAGCTATCAGTGCTACAAGCCCTCATCCTCTTGGAGGCAAGTGAATTATTATGCCACATACTGAGCACTGTGCTCTGCCAGCACACAGCTCCCAGCTCAGCTCCCCAGCTCACATTGGAGGGACCTGTTGCTACTGCATGAAGCATCTTCCATGTTTCTTGTGGACAAGTATCATCCAGAGTGGTGGTGCTTAGTGTAAGGATCAGGCTGTGGCACAACCAGATGCTGTGACTTCACTGGATTGATTCATTTATTGCAGGTGGTATGGCAGATGAGAGTTGCAGATAGAGTAGAGGGATTGGTGATTGCCTTGCTTGGAAAATGCTCTTGCTCTGCTCTGCTTTGCTTGGTGGGACAATGGCAGGCATGGCCCCAGCTAAAAGGTGAATGGATGCCTACAGTGTTTTGGGGCACTTTTCTTACTGGCAACCCACTGATGCACACAAACAGGCCTGCTGCCTTCCTTCTGGCCTTGGTTTGGCTTTCAGGGTAGACTCCTGATTTGGGTGGAGGCACAGGGAGGCTGCACCCAATGTTGAGTCTTGTCACAGCTTCCTGTCTCCGTCACTGGCAGCACAGCTGTGGAAGCAAGAAGTTTGGGAAGATGCCTTGAGCTCCGTGGAACAAGTTTGTCTCATGACCACTTTGGTCTGGATGAAGAACAAGCTGAGAGTAGGAAGATAGGTGCTGGTTACAACTTCCCAGCCCCTGTTTAGGTTACCTGTGGACACAGACATGCTATGAGCTGACCTATGAACATACCCAGATGCAATTTCCCCACTCCCCTTGCCCTCCTTCTGTGTCGGGTTTGTCCAGAATATTGGACATTCTGTGTTGGAAATAGAGATTTTGATCTAAACCACAAAATTCCACAGCTGGGTTCATGTCTCTTCCTCCTGTTGCTTCTTGGTATGGGAGAAGGATCTGAGGAATTTTATTCCAGTCTTCACAACTCTTCTGGGTACTAGAGCTCTTCTGCCAGATTTTCCCTTCTGCTGGGCAGGGATGTTTCTGTTATCCTCTGTGCACACAGTATTCCAGGGAAAAGACACTGCACCTGAGAACAACATCAGCCTTACTGGAGGCCTTTGGGTGCCTGGAATCAGGAACATCCTTGTGAATAGGCTGTACAGAGACCGAAGAGGAACTGAAAGTCCTGTGCTCCTTGCTGAGGATGTGCTCCATTCCTTGTGCATGCCAGGAGCCTCCAGAACCCCTTGTACCCTGTCCCATGTCTGTGCCTTTCCTTTTGCTGACTTGAGCTGACCTTTGCCCAGTGCTCATAAGTATCCTTGTCTGAGGTGCGTGTGTTGCCAGCTCCCCTCACGTTCTTTGTCCTGCTCTGCCAACCACTGCCTAGTAGGGGCTCTCCTTTTGGCAGGCTTGTCTCCCCGCTTCTTGCCTGTCAGTGTTGGTTTTCCACCCAGCTGCTCCAGTGTTGTCAGTGTGCTTAACTCTGACTTGGCTTGTCTGTGGCCTCTTTCAGTGTGAGGAAGCAGCCTACGAGGAGCGGCAGTACCCAGCTGGGAAGTGGGCCTGTGTCACCATGGGGGAGCCCATGTATGAGCAGAGCATCTCCATGAGCTTCATGAAGCTCATGCGCTACATCTGCAAGGAGAACTCTGTAGGTGTGTGCAGGCAGGGGCTGGAGGGGCTGGCAGACTGCACAGAGGGGAGGGCTTTGCCACTGTCCATCTGGAGTGGGTAGGAGGGCTGCTGCTGCCAACATACCTGCCTGCCTCTTTCCAGGTCGCTATTTGGGCATGACAGTCCCAGTGCTCAACGAAATCCACCTGACCAAGGAGGGGAGTGAGCTGGAGCGTGAGGTCCTAACTGCCTATTACCTCCCACGAGAGTTCCAGCAAAACGCCCCTGTTCCCATGGACCCTGAAATCCACATCATCGAGAGAGCACCGCTCCAGGTTATAACCAGGTGATCCCAGCACCAGAGATGTTTTCTCAGCTCAGCAGAGATGTGCAAACTCCCTGCATAGCTGCTGTGGTTTGTTAGACAGAGGGATGGGAGCTCTGGCTGTGGGAATGTGCTGGCTTTGTTGCTTATGCTGCTCCCTTTGCTGCAGGGTTTTCTATGGGATGACCACTGAGGAGACTATTCTGCGGGAGATCAGTCTCTTCTGGGAGCTCTTGGGCTCCACTGACACGGTGCTGCGACAAACCTACATCGTGGCTTCTTATGAAAACCCCAGCATCCCTCAGCGCCGCAATGAGATCTGGTTCATCCGCCGGGCCGAGTGAGTCTCCTCCGTCACCGCAAGCCAGCGCGCCACTGGACCCGGTGTAGATGGCGTAGTTCTGACCCAAAGGAGATGGAGCACATCCCGACCCACTGTTCACCAACACAATGAGACACCAAGAGACTGAGGGGTGGGTTTGCAGCCTGCCCTGCAAGGGTCCTGCCAGGGGAAATCCTGCCTGGTCTGCACTTTACCTGTCCCCACAGCTGAGGCTGGAGCTGGCACCAAGGACAACCTCTAGAGCAAACTCTTGATGGGAAGCACGTGGTGGGGACTTGTGCTAGCCTGACCTGCGCTGGGCTTGCAGAGCTGTGCCAGGGAGGCTAGTGGATCTAGTGGTGGACAGCATCACAAGGTGATGGTGTCTAGAAGGCAAATGACTGTGTACAAGATGTGGGGCTCAGTGTGGCCTCTGGCCTGCTTCCTATGAGAATGGCTACCTGTCCTGAACAGAGCCACTAAAATGCTGCTACAGAGACAGTTGTGTTCAAAGGGGAAAAGGGCTTGAATTCAGATGCAAATCCTGAATGTTTCCCGCTGGGGTAGTTCTCTTTGGACTGCTGGGTGTCTCCCTGGCTGTCACTCACCATTCCTCAGCCAGAACTAGGGTGCTGGCAGTCCATCTGTTGTGGTTGCTGTTTTGCAGACCTGCTGTGAGCTGAGAGGGGCAGGTCCAGAGAGCAGCAGCAGCACTGTGTGCTGTGTTGTGGATTGATTAGTGAATTTCACATCCATGAATACAGTCATGCTTTCCTGGGGGAAGCTGACAGTGCCAACAGTAAATAAACCCAGTTCAAACCACTAACTACAGATCACTGATGGTGGGGATGGGCGGAAGCTAGGTTGGGTTGGGAAGAGCCTTGCTGTCCCTTCCTGGACATGCTCCAGGCTGCAAAGCTGTGGCTAATTAGAAGGTCTCTAATTAGCCTAGGTTACAGCTTCCTGTTCAGCCAAGCACAGCCTCTGCATTGCTGCACAGGCTGCTTCTGTTGCTGCTGCAAGAACCGTGGGCACACTCGTCTGCAGGTAAGTTGGTTTGTCTGTTGGGTGGGGTCTGCATCATTTTTCCCTGGTGCAGGATTTGGATACTGTAGCTGTACTCCATGTGGGCACCTGATCTTTTGGGGAGAGAATTCAAATGCAACTGCATGTCCTGCTGGTTGGCTGCAGGAACTGGTGCACTCCCGCAGGGATCTGCTTAGCAGGCTTGATGTGGAGAGACTTTTAACTGCTTCTGATGCAGTTCCCAATGAGATTCCTCATGATGTACGCCTTGCTGCCTGCCACTGTTGCTCAAACTTCAGCTCTGGTCTCTCCAGTGCAGCTGGGGGTAGGAATAGCTGGAAGGCCTGGCCAGCTCTGTGGTGTCACTGCCCAGCAGCACAGGTGGCTTCTGCCACTCCTTTCTCCAGTCAGATGCTGCACACTGTCCCCTCCAGGCTGGCTTGCTCTCTGGCTGTGGGGAGCCTGGATGCCCAGCCTGGGGCTGTGGGGAGAGGGGGCTGAGCAAGATACACCCTTCTCTGCAAGGGAGCTTGAGGCAGAGTCTGGGTAAGCACAGCAAGGGCAGACAGTGGTTTCCTGGCTATCTTGTGATACAGTTCTTGTTCTTGGGGCACTAAAGGCAATATGGACCCAGGAGATGCAGTGACAGCCTGCACCACTGAGGGCTGATGTGGCAAGTGCTTCTAAGAGAAGTCAGGATACCTGGATTGGCACTGCTTAGATCACTTTCCTTCCTGGGGAAAGAGAATCCCCTGAAGCTGGGGTCAGTATCAGTGGGAGAGCAAAGTGTGCTAGTGTGTGTATGGGGACCCTTTCTATGTATCAGCTGCTTTGCTTGCCCTGAGCTTGCAGGTGGAAGTAAAACTTCCTTTCTAGACGGTGTTGAATAGGCTACCACTTCCTCTGAGGCTGCTTGGTCCCCAACCAAAACCAGAACAGCTTTTGGTGGCAGGAGGTGGTGAGAGGGGACTGGTCTGTGGTTATTGGCAAAGTTCCACAGCTGCACATGGTGTGGGAGCAGCTGTGTGGTCTCCCAGGATGTGGCAATGGTGGGGGCTTCTGGTGCAGCACCAGGCTGGCACTGCCACACCGGGCAGCAAGCACGCTCCAATCCTGTGCCACAGGTTTTGCTGAGTAAAGGCTCCAGCATCCTTTGTGATGGATCCAGCAGTGCTCAGGGCAATGTCCGATGGCGACTCTTCCACACAGTACCAAAACCAGTATTTTGGAGGCTCAACAAACCGGCTGGCAAGCTGGTGTTCAGAGTGACAACTGCCAGAGCCGGTGGTGCAGGGCTGCAGCAGGTTCCACCAGAGGCATTGGGTCGGGCACAGAGGCTCCAGTCTGGGCCATGCAGATGGCCAGACCGGCCCTTGCTGCTGTGCCTCAGCTTGGGTCCCGCAGAGGAGCAGCAAGGAGCGGGCAGCGTGCTGTGCATTGAGACTGTGTGTCCAGCCCTCTGTCCCTAGCAAGGTGCGAAGCTCCTGGCTCCTCGCTGCCCCGGTGCTTTCACAGAGTCTCTCAAAGCGGTACAGGCCGGGAGCTTCTACCATCGGTTTAACAAACAGCCCGGCTACAAGGAGCCCCTGGGCGTGAGGGGAGCTCCCTCGCCTCCTCGCTGCTCGGGGCACCCCGGAGGCACTGACTGGCAGGAGGGGTACGCAGGAGCCCGGCGCGACCCTCCCCGCCCCCCGTGCCGGCGGGGCTCTGCGGGGGATGGCGCCGGCGAGCCCCGAGCCTCGAGCACCGCGGCGGAGGCACGGGGGGCCGAGCCGGGCGCTGCCCGGGGGACCCCGCTCCTCCCGACCCCGCCCGGTTTCCGGTGGCCGCCCCTCCTCCGGAACCCCTCCCGGCGGCGGCGGCGGGCGGGGCGGCGGCGGCATGGTTGGGGTCCGGCGGGCACGCTGACCGGCGCGGGGGCTGGCGGCGGTGCGGAGGATGGCGGCGGTGCGGGCGCTGCTGGTGCTGGGTGAGTGCGGGTCGGGACAGCCACCGCAGCCTCCCCCGCCCAGGGAATGCGGGTCCCGGCGGGGGCGGCGGAGCTTCGCGCCTCCCCTCGAGTCCGTGTCTGGGCCGCGCTGGGGCCGGCGGGCGGGGGTCCTCGGCCGGGCCCGGGGGTGAAGGTGGCGTGGCCGTGTCGGGGGCCGAGCCTCCGGTGGTCTGCGGCCCCCCCCCCCGTGAGCCCGGCGGCGATGGGGCCCGCTCGTCCCGCCGGTGTGGGGCGCGGAGCAGGGGCTGCGTGAGGCCCCATCTGTTCCCCCCCCGGGGCGGCCGCGCCCCCGCCCCGCGCAGCCCCGCTGTGCTGCGGGAGCCGCCGGGGCGCCTCGCCCGGCTCTCCTTCCCCGGCGTGCGCCGGCTCGCCCTGCCCGCCCGCCCGCTCCGAAGGGGGAGCGTGGTGCCGAAATCCACGGGGATGCAAATACGCCAGACAATTGCTGTCTGGGAGACGGCGAACAGGCGCCCCCGGAGCGGCGCGGTCCGGGGAGGACTCCCGGAGATCCCTTGAGCGGGGCTTGGCTCCGACCCGCGCCCCTCCGGCCCCGTGGGCAGGGTTGACACCGGGAAGGCTGCGCGGGGCAGCGGGTGGTTTTTCCTATGAATTCTGGTCAGATCAGAACCCGGAGGAAAAACGGGGCGCGCGGTGAGTTCCCACCCGTGGAGATTGACCTCCCGACCGCTGAGGGGTTTTTGTCCCTTTGCTGAGCGCATCTGGATGAGCCCTCTGCCCCGCCCCCCGTGCCACCCTCCCTGCCCCTTCCGAGCTCTGCGGCCCCTTGATTTTCCTGGCTGCTGCTTTTCACAGAGTCCAGCTGCAAGGCCTAAACTCTCCTTCTCTTGCTCTGCTCCGTGGTTTTTCTCCCCACTGACTTCCTAGCACCATTCTCCTTGTCTGGGGAGCCCGAGGTCTTGGCTGTGCATGAGAGCCGCAGGGGCTGTGAGCTGTCTTCCAGCCTGGCTTTGAAGGGTCCCACGGCTGCCCCATGCCACATCACCTCGTTTCTTCACTTAGGAACCCTGCCTGTAGCTGTTTGCAGTCCCTTCTGTCTCACCGTGTACAGTTGCAGAGTTTGCTTTGCAGCTTCTGCTGTAAAATCAAGAGCAATATTAGTTTAACACCTGCGTGGAATACTGCATCTGAAGGAAAGCGATCTACAGTGCTGCTGCCCGTCCATATCTGGAGCCGTGGCTGAGCCCTGCTGCCAGGCGGCAAGTATCGTCCAATTTACAGCTGATAAGCACGAAAAGCAGCACTTACTTAGCTGATTAGCGCCGTGATTGCAGTCCGCCTTGGCAGCCTTCTGGGAAGGCTTTTTCTGGCCGGGGAGTGCATGCTTAGCTTGGGCTCTGGTTTGAAGTCATAGGGCCCTTTGAGCCTGCCACAGCATTCACGTATGTGCCAGCGGGCCAGCCCTGGCAGTTGGGATGTGCAAACCTGCCTGTGAGGGCTGTGTGCTGCCTTTCCTGCCCCTCTGCAGTTGCTGGCGTTTCTGTGCTGCTCCGATCACGTACACTCCCCCTTGTTTCTTTTGCTGAGCAGGACCACATCCTACAGCACTGGGGGCAACATGCAGCTGTCCAGCTCGCAGACACTGTAAAAAATCCAGGCGCCATCAGTGTAGCCAAAACGTGCAGTTTGATGTTTAGGTTTTACGGGCTGGTGGTAAGTTTTGTGGGCTGCAGGGCATTGTCTCTCTTGGCCTGTGGATGCTGTTTGGAAAGAGCACTGGAGCAAGACCTGTGTGGAGTATCCATGGCTCATGCGTGTCCTTTGCCATGTATGTGTTCCAGAAGTGCTCGGTGCCTGGACTGCTGGTCTTCCTCCACTTCCATTGTTCAGCAAAGCTGTGATCTTTCTGGCAGTGGCACTACAGCATGCCACACAGATGTGTGCTGACTTCTGCTGGAACATGTGGTTGAAATGCTAGCAGAGAAAATATTTGCTGAGTCAACTTTCCTTTAAAGCAAAAAAAAAAAACAAAACCCAAAAACCCAAAAGGTCAATTTTGTCCTGCAAATGCCTCCATGTTCTGTGTTGAGCTCTGTGTTTCTGTATGGCAGTGCTTTTCTCATGCTTCCTAGCAAGCCTGGTCTTAAAGAAGAAAATTTCTGAAAACAGAAATTTTGATCTTGTCCCCTTGGGACTTGACTGTGTTCAGACAGTGCTCTGGGCAGGCTGGAACCTTGAAGTGGCAGGAGCTTCAAAGGCATGGAAATGACACAGCTGTGGCCATAGGCACTTCTTTGTCTGCACAGTGGGGTCCAGCACCACTGTGAACCAGCACTGTTCAGGGGGCTGTCCTCTTTAAAGATCCCTTAAAGATGTGTTCTGAGCTCTTAATTGACCTGGAATGAGACCATCTTCTAAAGGGAGATGGGCAGATGTTTAAACTTCAACAAGCACCTGTGTTTAGTTGCCTGCTGGGTGACAAATGTTCTTGCTGATGGGAGCATGTTTCCTTCAAGTCTGCTTCGGCCCTCTTGTTCAAGGGAGGTGAGGGAATGGCAGCTCACATCTGCTAATTGCTCAGATAGTAGGTCTCACCTTGTTTGGCCAAAGGCTGGTTCATGGTGCATCCAAGCAGATAGGCATGAGTGTCCTGGGAAGGTGGGCTGCTTTTCCTCTAAAAGCCATGGAACTCAAAGGGAATGGAGGGAAGAAGGTAGGAAAGGGGTAGGAAGAGAAGAGCCTCACCTTGACGCAATGGACAAGAACGGAAGGGCCAGTTTGGCTGTAAGTGTTAAGGCACTTCAAAAAGATCTGAAGGCTGTGAGGCCTGGTTACAGGT